GACTTTGGTGATGTAGTTGCTGCTGTACTTGAAGCAGAAAGTAGTTCTTCAACAATTTCATTTGTTGATGTCTTTGTATTCTGTGTAGCCCATAAAATGTGAATAAATTTCTAAATATGTTCAATTAATCAAGAAGAAAGGCATTTATTAATTAAGGAAAAAGCTCAGTGAAAATACAAGTGAAAACATTTGTTAAGGAATATGAGTCTCACAGTATTTGAATCAGATGATGAAGTTGTTGCTGCTCGATTAGAAATTTGTGTTGAGGGTGAGTTACTAGAGAAGTTCAATTCATTAACAAGCATATCACACATTTAGTGTGAGAGAAACTTTTCTTGGTTGAGGAGGCTGTTTCATTATAATGAAGCATATGTTTGTACCTCTGTCAAGTTTGGTGAGCTACTTTTTTGCTTCTTTACTAGGGAGTCTTTTTCAACAGCCTCCTTGGATGCCTCTTCGCTCTAAACAGTCAATCACAAAAGATACAAAAAGAAGGTAAACTGAGTTTTCATGGTGTTAATAACCATAATAAATCTAATTAGCACTGAAAATAAAATAAGAACTTGATTTATTTGGAACAAATGAATAGAACAATGAGGTAAGAGAGAAATCAATTGTTAATTCTCAAGTGTGCTTGGTTATAGAAAAGGATGATATGCATACATTTTCAAAATTTGGTAAAATGATATTCTGTTGGAGCATTGTTGAGTCTTTTTTCATGTCTTCTTGTGATGATCCCTCTTCCTCGATCTGAAAAATAATAGAAGATATATTAGTTTACTATCAACATCAACTTTGATCCTAAAGGGTACATGAGACGCTCTTGCAAACTCCTATATAAAATGAAAACAATATCACTACTATTAAACCCTTTCTACTTCTGCATTGCTGCATAACTGAGAACTGTTAAATGAAAATACAAGTGAAAGTATTTGTTGAGAAATGGGTTGTTAAGAAGTTTATGACATTGTTTTAATTTATTACAGTGAAGTTTTTGAGAAAAACACAAGTATTTGGTCCAAAATGGTTAAACATCAGTCTACTAAGCCCGCAAGATCAAACCCAAACATCACAAGCCTAAATCTTCCAGAGGACTGTGATATTTTCTTTAACAACTGATATAATCGCTTGACACGTACATGTATTCCATTCTTATCCATTTGTATGATTAGGTGTGTGCACTCTATATGGATCATGCTCTGTGTAATAGTAAGTAAGCTAATCATTTGTAGGTATTGATATTCTCCCTTTTTCTCTATTTTCTCAACAGAAGCATCATGCTTATACCTCCGACAAATTTGGAGAAATACTGGTCTGCTTGTGTCCTGTGGAGCCTTCTTCAATAACCTCAAATGCCTCTTCATCCTCAAATGAATCTTCATCCTAAACAATCACAAACTTAAACATATAAGAAAATATGAAATGAGTTGAAGTCTCTAATAATTAAACGTTACAAATCAAACTAAAACTTGGAACAAAGGAAGAAGACAACAAGTAAGAGAGGATGTGTCGGCCTGGCAACACAAACACTTGTTCTGTTATGGTATTGACTATTGTTATATCTCTCCACAAAGCTTCCTTTAATTCCTCGTAACAGGGATATAAAGAACGTAGTGAGTTGAAGTCATTGGTAAAGATTGTAATCTTAGCCCAAAGCAGTGGATGCATGGAAATTTCTGCCAAATTAGTAGCCAGGGAAATATTTATTCTTGCGTTGGTCAATTTGATTATTAGTTAATCTTGGTGTGAAAATTATCATTTCTCATCTCCCTGTTTTTTTTTTATTATCTCTTTAACCTGATTAAGCCGCATTATTGAGTTTGATACTAACCTCATCAGCCCAGTCCGACACATGATATTTGTACAACCAGTCTTCATCAGAGATTGTTCGAAATGCTAATTCACGTACTGCCAAAATAAAACAATTCCATCGTTATGAGAATAAATCGTAGCAATTGGCGGTTGTAACGAATTGCTTATGTGAATACTTACGTTCAGTGGAGGTATCATTCGCTGAAGTTAAAGAAATGGCAGGACATTGACGCACATGACGGATTATCACGGTTTGAAAATCAATTCCTTGACAGATAGTATGAAGAGTTGGCAGTTTTACTAGTCTTATTGCAACTAGTTTTGGAAGCACATTCTCCAACACCAGCTTCCGTCCCTCTCCCTGCTTCCATCCAAATACTTGCCCAAGCTGGGGGACGTCTTCTATATTCACATACAAGAGTCGTGGAAGCTTACCACTTGATTCAGAAAAAAGGCATTTCAAACTTTTGCAATGCTTCACTGTTATTCCACGTAGCTCTGGGAAGCATGCTTGATGCGGAGTCATAGGATTTTTGTGATTCTCTTCATCCTCCATAATGCTCACTAGCTCCTCACACTCTGATATCTCTAAGCTTTTTAGTTTTTGCAGCCATCTTGAGGTAGATGCACAGAAGATAAATTTCAAATGCTTGCATCTAAGGATTGTTAGCATGGAAAGATTTTGAAAGCTCATGTGAATTTGTTGTTCCACACCGATATCTTCAAACTTGGGCAATTCTTTCATGTTGGAAAGCGGTTTACCTTTCTTCTCAAGAGGTAATGCCTGTGGTTATCATTAAGATATATTAGTATTAATGATTTTCTTAGTTGATCAATCATAAATTAACTGGAAAAAGAAGTCGGAAGGAGGTTTACCTTTCTCTTTGACTGATCTTCTTGTCTTTTATGCCCGTCAACCAATAAGTCCATCAAAGTTTTCAAAGGAAGTTGTGGGCATTCATTCAACCAAATACCTTCTAGATATAGTTCCTTCACAGAATAGTTTTTAGCACAAATGCCAACCATATTTGGTAAATCATCAAGGTAGGTTTTTCAGAGCTGGGAGATTAATATCAACCTGAACATTAAGATTCTCATCAGCACGGCATTTTCCAAAGACATGTGTCAACATTCCAGCCTCGGTGATCTCCACAGATTCTAAATGCTTCAAGTCTTTTGAATAAAAAGCTGGGAAATGTATTCCAAGTGGCTACAGCCATAGACATAAACCCTCAGTAAGTTTGGGAAAATAGAGTTAACATTCCAACGATCATGACCATGCTCCTCATCTGTTACTATGTGCTCTAGTGCATCGCAATTTCCAACTGTCAACCATTCCAGCAATTTCAATGATGAGACAATGGATGGCGTAAAGAGTGACTTTAACTCAGAAAATCCAACTATCCATATCTCTCTCAAACTTCTACATGGGTATAATGGTGGCGTGAAAAGACCATGAGCTCTGTTGACAACATATTTCACTTTAATGCCTGTATTCCATACAAACATGTGAGGATTCTTCGTCTTTCATCAATTGAAAACGAATGGTACAAGTTATGGTACAGGCTTAATGTTCAAACTTTTCTAATATTACAAGAAAGATCTACTATATATAAACAAATTGGGGAAAATTAAAGAGAACAACCTACAAAAAATAATATTTATTGAAGAGATATTAAAATTTGTAATCATTTATAAGGATCAAATATAAAACTGTAATTTCAAAATAATAAACTATTCCTAACTAAATTCTTAAGTTTTCTCTAACCATATCTCACATGCACTCCCTCCGTGTTTTAGGGATCAACTCCTATAATACATAACAACAAATTTCATATTTTAACAATATTGGATTAAAAGTAAAATTGTATCACTTTCAACATAAATCAACGAATCAGAAGAAAAAATGAGCTCCGTAAGTTGGTTTCATATGATTTTTGAGGGAGATATATGGTGGCATAAAAATAATGTAGAAATCAAATTGATCAAACATTACTCATAAAGTTTTTCATAGCTATAATTTTTATCTGCACACTATTTCTTATTTGTTATCAATTTTCATAATCTTTTTGTTTTGTTTTTTCTCGATCTTGATATGTTTGTATTAAAGTAAATGGTAATAAAAAAAAATTTAAAGATGAAAAAATTCTAAAAAATATCTCTAAAATTTCAAAATCTCAAATAAAAAATGACTACAAAAATGTGTTGTCATTTACTTCTCCAATGTTATCAATTGCTATTAAAGTGTAGCAAACATGACCGATTTAGAATTTAAAATTCAAAGGTAATTCTTTGGGATTCTCCCTTTTAAAATTAAGGGAATGGAAAATTTTAGGTAAAAATAAATATTAATAATGTTATTTAATTAATTATTTTCTATTTTCAAAAATTGAAATTGGTAAAAATATTTATAAAAGTTCTAATTCTATTTATTAAAATTAATTAAAATATATCTATTTAAATTTAAATATATATAAAAAAATATGGTAAAACGATTTATAAAAAATAAGTCAAGAAAGAGATATTTGGGGGGGGAAAAAAGAGGGCTTTCAATTGCAACTTAAAAATTAACTATTGATAGCAAAATTCATGTAGATGAATGATTTTACTTCATTGTGTGTTTAGATATATAAGATATTTTAGATAGATTAATATAAATGATTTTGACTGATTTTAATAAATTTCGTTTCAAATATTGATGAGAAAAGGATTATTAAAAATTTTAGTTTAAATTAAGGATTCTTAGGGATAATTTATTATATTTTAAATTTATATTTTAGTATTTGCTTCTTATAATCAGATCTTTTTTAGTAAATATTACTTTTTTTGGGTCCTTCCCCCAATTTTCCCAACAAAATTAAGTTCTTCTACAATCAGTAATTTATAAACAGACAAATTTTCGAGTGGGTAGCGTACAGAGGAAGACCCAAAGCAGTGTAAATATAATGTGCCAAAAAAAAACGTGCAAGTAATTTGCAGCATATATTTGAGCGAATTTTTTGGTTTTTGCCAACTGTGCCTAGCGTCTCAATTAGATGGAAAAAAAGAGAAATGCAAAATTAATTTTGTTACTTTAAGACAAATTGATATTCTCATCATATATACAAGAAGTTTAGCAAAGCATATTTGGGTGATTCATACATTATTACAAATAAAGATTTAAAACAAAATAAAGTAACAGATATTACCTGATTATGGTTTGATTGAGTGTCCATGGGAGCAGAAGTGTGACGGATAGTTGAGGCTTTTGATTTTGCCCAAAAACAACATAGATGACCCCTTGATAGACTGCTACTGCGTCTACTTTTGCACTTGGAGATGACTTTTGAAGTTCATCAGAACAAGGCCGTGGGAGATAACATTCTGCATATATGTTGATGAAATTCGGTACCCCTCTAATTTCCAATACTTCTAGCAACTGGAGGATGGCTTCTTTTCCCATTTGGTGCAAATCTCTATGCTGTGGATATTGCCCAAATACGTATTTTAGTTTCTCACAACCTTGAATCTGCATACTTTCTAGTAGTGGAAGGTCTTCACAAAAACATATTGGCAATATAAATTCTAATTCAGCACAGTCGTAGATCATGAGATATTTCAATTTTGGCAACATTGAGTCATGACTCTTTTGATTAGGATCCTGATCATCCATAGTCTCTGCTACTATGTATTTCAACTTCAAACATTCTCGAATATCCAATGTTTCCAACTGCTTTAGACTCTGTGCTGTGGATGCATGAAAAAGGCATGTCATTGAACATCCATGTAAATATATGGACTTAAGATTACACAGCTCTAGCTTGCCATCAAATAACGTGCCTTCCAATTTTACATCAACCAACTGCAGCTTCCTCAATTGCTTCAAAAAGTCAACAGGATAAGCCCATGGCATAGTTCTCTCACACCCACAGAATCAAGTGTCAGTTCAACCAACTTGGAGAAGATAGCCACACCAGGTCGGAGATTCTCGGTATGGATTAGGCACTTTATCTCATTCATGGAACACAAAGAGAGCCTAGTTAATTGATCTTTCATGTTGTCATCTCCACAGATAAGATGTCAGGAACAATATTTGTCCATCCTCTGTTGTAGTAATCTCCTCCTAAAATCAAAACTTCTGCTCTTGCCACCAGGAGTTTAAATATTTCGTTGGTGAAGTCTACTCTTAAGCCCCATGAATTAAAATATCTAGATATTAAAAAATCCACTTTATAATCACGAACAGCAGACGGACCCTCTATGTGATACCTTTGCAATGTAGGAAGTGTTGTAATTCGCCCGTCATAATCATCCACTTTATTTGAAGCATAATACAGCTCCTCTAATTGACAGCAACTTCCAATCACTTCAAAAGGATTATTTCTTCCATTAAAAGAACATTCTACCATCTCCAACAATCTCAATTTTTGACATTCTTTAATTTCTTTTGGCAATTCAATAATCGAACAATTGTTCAATTCAAGGCTCTCAAGGTTTTTTAGATTTGCCAAAATAGATATATCTCCTAATGACTTAAAATTCTTTATGGCCAAAGTTCGAACATTTGTTAATGACAAAGGTGATTGAAATAAGGAAGCAGCTGCAATTTCCAATTTTGACGAACTCCTTAAAGCCAAAATTTTAAGGTTCTCCATCCCTTCAAAGGTAGTATTGGGAACTTTGACTTGAAGAGAATTTGCATGTTTATCCAAACTAAAAGAACCTCAAGGTTTTCGACCCTCAAAATGGTTTGGAAAGTCAATTATGTTCCAAGATGAATATTGGATGTTTTCCATTAAAGCTGTGTTGGAATCCATGGCTACTTGAACCTGTTTGTTTCCAATCCATAGAGCTACTTCCCGGACCAAGTCGTGCATTTTGACACACTCCTTCTCGGCCTTTAATAATAAACAAGTATCAATGAGCACATTTTTAATTGGAGTGAAATAACTTCTTGCAACAGAGTATTTGTTAGCTTCTCCACAAAGCCCAAGACCTATAGCAATTCTAATTAAAAGTTCTATAGGGATTTCATAATCTTCAGGGAAGAGAGAGCACAGGAGAAAGAGTTGTTTGGCCTTTTCATTCCTGAGATTATCATAGCTTAATCTCAAAGAGTTATAAGCCTGTTTTAACTCTTCTTCAACATCGTGAATTCCCTCATGATTCTGCAATCTTTTCAAACTATGCTGCCATTCTGGTAAAGGCCTAGACTTTAGTGCACTTGCCACTGCTACAATTGCAATTGGTAAACTTCCACACTCCTTCACAATAGCTCTAGCCACATCCTTAAAATCATTGGAAGGACCATCTATGCTCATTCCAGCATAAGATAGGAAAAGATTAACTGCATCCTCTTCATTGAGGACCTTAAGTTCAATAAACTCATGGCAACCCATATCTCTACAACTCTCCAATACGTGTGGTTAGCAAAACAGCACAATGACCCTTGCCATGGCGGCCAAGAGGAATCCCTATATCTGGCAGTGTAAGCTTTTCCCACATATCATCTAGTATTATAAGTACCTTTTCCTTACCTTCTGCTATTCTTTTCCATAATTCTTGCGCTTGTTCAGATTCATCCATTCCTTCTGTTAAAGGCAAACCTAAGTGTTTTGCAATGGTGCCCCGAATCTTTTTCAAGCTTACATCCTTTGAGACAACAATGAAGATGACTTTATCAAACAACTTTGATTTTGCAACCTCATTACCTACTTCTATTGCCATTGTGGTTTTCCCTGTTCCGCCTAGCCCATACAATCCAATCATAAACTTGTTGTCATCTTCCAATGCCTCCTTCAGCTTCTGAGAGATCAACTTTCTACCCGCAAAAGTGATAAAATTTGGAGAAGAATAGAACTCGATGCCTGCAAGCCCAGTTGAACGAGCAACACGAGCGAAGTTACTCTGTTCCAACAGTAGCTGTTTAATCCTTTGCGTCTTCCCTTCCAGCTCCTTCCCTCGCTTGTACTGCCAAACGCAGTTAGTGACCAAACCAAACCATTTCTTCTTTCCTTTTGTGTCTTCTCCTATGAGATCACAGGCTGTTTTTAACCACAGTGCAACGTGATCTTCAACCTGATTCTCATTTCTGTGGCTGGCTTCTTCAATATCCTTAAGAACTGTGTTTCTTATTGCACTCAATTTTGTCTTCTCCTCTTCGAAGTCATCAACATAGGTCTTGTAACAACACAAGTATTCGAGTTCCTTCATTGCTTTATCTACCAATGATTTCGCGACATCGGTAGCCACGCCCTCTCCAATTGCCGCCATCTAACATGCGGAGTGAATTACAAAAAGGGGCTACTGACTACACTACTATATATGTTTCAACTACACCTACCATGTTCTCGGATTTCAATAACATATATACAAGAAAAAAATATTTTATTATTAGCGATGCGGGGTATGTTTTACAATATGATGGGTTGTCTTTTAATTTCTAGGGAAAATCTACATCAAAACGAGTATATGAATGTTTGCAAAATTATTCAACTTAAAAACCCTATGAGAATGTCCTTAGAGTAGTGTTTTCTTGTTCATTTTTTCCCTGTTCTCTGTTTTTTTTATATTTCTTTTGTTTTTATGACTTCCCCTAGCTGGAATTTCATAACTAAAGGAAAAATTGCATGTAAGTTTTAAATAAGACACTTAATAACAAGTTTGGTGAATTTGTTAAAATATTGTTAAATTCTTTGAGACTGATATATTATAATTAATTTTACTAGTGAAATTTCATATCTGCCATTTGACTATAAGTTGATTTGCGTTCACTCACCACTGACAACTATTGACCATTTAAAAAATATTTTTTAGAAATATTTTATTGAAATATTAAATTTAATTATTTACATATCAAACATTGTAGATTTATAATTAAATCTGAACTTCTTAAATTTATAAGTAAATCCCTGGAAAAAAAAACTAATACTTTAATGTTTATATGTCAATTTCTTGTACTTACTAGTCAAACTTGCAAGTTTACAAGTAAATTTGCCTGATTCTTCTATTTTTTTCAAAATTAGAAATCAACTGGCAAATCACTAACTTATAAAATTTACAAGTCATCTTTTTAAATTTATAAGACAAAACTCAAAATCTATAACTTAATAAGGTAAAGAATGCTTAGGTCATGTAAATTTAGGATAATGATTTGTAAAATTTAAGAAATTGAGGAATAAATCTGTTTATGAAATTTGAAGAACCAATACAATAATAATGTAAATTGACTTATAAATATGTGAAGTTGACATGTAAATCTGCGAAATCGAATTCTAAATGTTAAAGTATTAATTTTTGTTTGAGATTTACCTGTAAATGAAGTACTCCTCCGGTCCTAAATATATGACATATTTTATAGTGTAAATTATACTACAAAATGAGTCTTATATTTAGGATCGGAGGAATATTTTATTTTAAAAAGTTGACTTTGAAATGTAAGAAGTTTGGTTAGTAAATCTTAAAGATTGATCTATAAATCTTAAACATACTACCTTCAGTCTTTAATACAAGAGCTAATTAATTAATTTGAGTATATTAGAAAAATTAGTTAAAATGGTAGTATGTTTGAATTGTAAATGTTAAAATCTTCATAGGTTAATAAAAATATTTTCATAAAAAATAATTGTTGACTGTGCTTGGTCAACGCTTGCCACTGTAAGTCAACGGGTGTGGGTTTGAAAGTATTTATGTCTTTTTATTTTGCTGTAGAGCATGGAAGTAACATATCATAACTTAAAGTAAACAATTTTTCACGCGTTCCAAAAGTAGTCAAATTTGATTTTCTATACAATTTTTTCACTGGGTTTTTTTTTTTGGCCAGCTTACCACTACTTATAACCAATTATTATGATGAGACTATACCATCCTAATTAGATTCAGATGGTCTAAATTTAATTTTTTAAATTTTTTAATTTTTAAATATTTTTTAATTCGAATTGGCTCGACCCTCCATGCCTAACACCAACTATGCTTTGCTAAGTGAAAAAAGTAAACGATTATAATTAATGTTAATAGATTTTTGTAAGAATAAATTTTTATTTGGAGATAATCACGTTCAAAACACTAAGTAGGAAAGGCATAGAAAGATGTAATATTATGGAGAATATAACCAAGACTAATTTATATTTTTATTCATTTAACTTTATATAACATTTCAATTTAATCATCTTAACGTTAAAATGTATATTTTAGTCATTTAATCCTAAAACTGTTAAAAAAAATAATGATATTAAGATTTCAAATGTTGATAAAATATAATCAAATGATAATACTAGTTCCGATCTTAATTATAAAATCTTGTTTTCATTCAATTTAAATAAAACATCAATATTTAAAAATAAAACAGATATGGGTATGTTGATAAATTTTGTTCGATTGTGACTTTTAGAGATTTACTTAAACAACAGATAAAGAAAAAAAATTGTTTGGAAATTTTTTTAGTCGGTTATTTTAAAAAGTAAAAAACAGTAATGTGTTTTTAAAAACTAAAAGACCAAAACAATGTTTAGATTTTTTTGTTTTGTATTTTTTATCTGTTGTTTCAAAAAATTGGAAAAACATTCTTCTCTTATCCATTGCTTGTCAAATGTGATTTTTTTTAATATATTTTTTGTTTCAAATATTATTTTCTTAAAATAATTATATATCTAACATACGTTTTCATTCAATGTAAATAAAACATCAATATTTAATAATAAAACAGATATGGGTATGTTGATAAAAAAATTTTCAATTGTGACTTTTACAGATTTACTCAAACAACTGATAAAGAAAACCTAAAAGCATTTAAGGGCTTGTTTACTTTCATATTTTGGGGAAAAAAACAAAAAATTGTTTGGTAATTTTTTTTAGTTCGTTATTTTAAAAAATAAAAAACAGTGATGTGCTTTTAAAAACTAAAAGACCAAAACA